GTGTTGCCTTTGATTGATTCGAATTTGAAAAACCTCATCTTTCGATTTCATTCACCGATCGGTGAAGCTTGTTCTATGTTTGTTTCGTCGTCTGAGTAAAATCGAATTAGAGTGGGTGACGTTTTGTTTCTTTTAAAACGTCATGTTGTTTGTTACCTGATCGTAAAAACGTCCTCGGTTTTCGTGGGACGCGCGCATCCCTTGCTTTCCCTACACGCGTCTCGAACAAAGACTGACATGACTGTTTCCTAAATGACGAAAATACCCTCACACGCATCGTTTACCAAATCAGAAATTGGAGGGTGTTTTAGTCAAATCATCAGTGGTCATCAGAAATTTTGGAAATATCTCCTTCTCTCAAAGGCTAATCTCTTTGCTTCTCTGGTTCTACTTCTTCCTTCGTTTTTGGCTCTCTAATGGCGGCGGTTATCGGGAACGTAGCGTTGTTACTCGACGTTAACTCTCATCGTACGGTGGTTACTGATCGGAGAATTCGTTTGACGGTTGTTGACGTCGTTCTGAATTTACCCAAGAGGGATTCGCACGGTCACGTTTCGTCATACTACGCGTCTCTCTCTTCCTCCAATAAGCCTCTCGAATCCGACGGCGAGGCTCGGGTTCGCCGGTTTTTTACTCGCGGAAAGTCGAATTCCAAGGCTAACGCCGTCGATTTCGACGACGCCGGATCCAGCGATGAAGAAAGCAGCGACGGTGACGGTAAGGAGAATGACGAGGAAGAGGGAAATTACGATGTGGAGAAGGAGATGAAGAGGAGAGCTAAGGAATTTCAGGATATGAAGGAGCTTGAGAGGAAAGCAGAGGAATTACAGTATAGGATTGAAGAAGAAGGGGATGATTCAGAGGAGAAGAAGAGGATGCGAGTTAAAAGAGAACTCGAAAAGGTGCGTTTGATTGATTTCTTCTTACTCACATTTCGATTACACTGAAGAATGTTGATAGATTTAGGTAAAGAACACTCTTAGATTAGATTCTAAGAAAATGCAATTCTTAAGAGTTGATTTGCTTATAGAAGAGATTTGGTTGGTGAGATCACCAGGTAGCTCAGGAGCAAGCAGAGAGGAGAGCAACTGCAGAATTGATGTTTGAATTGGGTCAAAAAGCTTACGGTAAAGGAATGTATGGACGCGCAATCGAGTTTCTTGAAGGAGCTCTTACCATTATTCCAAGGCCAACACTCTTTGGTGGTGAGGTTGGTTCAAAGTTACACCATTTAGGTACCTTTTTCAGTTTTCGAAAAACAAAAAGATTGATTGCTAATGTTCACTGGGGGGGATTGATTTGCCAGATTCAAATTTGGTTAGCTATGGCATATGAGGCCAATAATCGCCACGCTGATTGCATTGATCTTTATCAGCAATTAGAGAAGAAACACCCGAGTCCTGGTATTCGTCGTCAAGCTTCTGAACTTAGGTATATATTGCAAGCTCCTAAGCTCAAGATATCTCAGGAGGAAATGGTCACTATACCCATGATCGGTTCTAGTTACGACAGGTAAACTTAAAGCTTACGGGTTTGTTTCCACGGAGTGACTTGTATGTTCTAATGTCCTCATAGCTAATGCATATCTACACACTTTGAATGGTCTTTCTGTTGTGTGCACAGCTATG